CGGCGCCGGCACCGTGCGCGCCGCCTCCGCTGTAGGCGCCGCCCGGGCCGCAGGCGCCACCCGCACCGCCGAGGCCGCCGCCGTAGCCTCCGAAGAGCCCAGAGCCAAGGCCGCCGCCGTGGCTCCCGAAGCGCCCCGAGCCGAGGCCGCCGCCGTAGCTCCCGAAGAGCCCCGAGCCGAGGCCGCCGCCTCTGCCGTAGGCGCCGCCCGCGCCGCCGAGGCCCCCGCCGTAGCCTCCGAAGGGCCCAGAGCCGACGCCGCCAGAGCGGTAGAAGGCCATGGCGCTAGCGGCGCGGTGAAGTGGGGGGACCGCTGCCGCGGCGGGGCGTGCTGGGAAACTGCGAGGAGAGAAAATGCACAACTGTGCTTAAGCCAAAGATCGCCCAAAGATCGCCCAAGATGCCTCCAAGATGGCCCCGGAACGGCCCAAGAGGCCCCCAAGACGGCCCCAAGAGGCCCCCAAGACGGCCCAGGAAGCTTTTAAGACGCCCAAGATGGCCTCCAAGACGGCCCTGGAGCATTCCAAGAGGGCCCCAAATCGGCTCAGAGGCCCCCCAAACGGCTTCCGACGGCGTCGGACGGGCCAGGGGCCCACCAAGACGGCCGAGGATGGCACTAAGATGGCCCAAGACGGCCAAAGAGGCCTCCAAGAGGGCCTCCAAGAAGACCCGAAAAGGCCAAAAGCGTTGAATTCCCGTGAGTTTTTGAAGGATTGTGGCATTTGCTTTTTGGGGGGCCTTCCGACGGCCCGAGACGGCCCAAGTGTCCCCAAAGATCGCCCAAGAGGCCCAAGACGGCCCCAAGAGGCTCCCAAGACGGCTCAAGAGGCCTCCAAGACGCTCAAGATGGCCTCCAAGACGGCCCAAGAGCCCTCCAAGACGTCCTCCAGGCAGGCCGGGTCAAAATGGCCTCCAGGTGGCCAAGATGACCTTCAAGATGCCCACGTGTTCCCCGAAGGCTTTCCAAACCGATTCGGGGAACACATGGTCCGATAGCTTGGCAGGTATGGCCTCAACGTTCGGACCGCCCCGAAGCTCCCCAAGAAGACCCCACGTCGGTTCAGAGAAGCCCCCAAGACGGCTCCCGACGACGTCAGACGGGCCAGGAGCCCACCAAGATGGCTGAAGTTGGCTCGAAGCTGGCCCAAGACGGCCCAAGTGGCCTCCAAGAGGGCCTCCAGGAAGGCCAGAAAAGGCCAGAAACATGTATTTTCCGTAGGTTTTTGAAGGATTTGACATTTCCTTCTTTGCGGCCTTCCGACGGCCCGAGACGGCCCAAGAGCCCCCAACGATCACCCAAAGATCGCCCAAGATGCCTCCAAGATGGCCCCAGAACGGCCCAAGAGGCCCCCAAGACGGCCACAAGAGGCCCCCAAGACGGCCCCAGGAGGCTCTTAAGACGCCCAAGATGGCCTCCAAGACGGCCCTGGAGCATTCCAAGAGGGCCCCAAATCGGCTCAGAGAGGCCCCCCAGACGGCTTCCGACAGCGTCGGACGGGCCAGGGGCCCACCAAGACGGCCGAAGATGGCACTACGATGGCCCAAGACGGCCCAAGAGGCCTCCAACAGGGCCTCCAGGAAGGCCCGAAAATGCCAAAATCAGTGATTTCCCATGAGTTTTTGAAGGATTGTGGCATTTGCATGTTTCGGCCTTCTGACAGCCCGAGACGGCCCAAGTGTCCCCAAAGATCGCCCAAGAAGCCCAAGACGGCCCCAAGAGGCTCCCAAGACGGCTCAAGAGGCCCCCAAGACGCTCAAGATGGCCTCCAAGATTGCCCAAGAGCCCTCCAGGACGTCCTCCAAGAAGGCCGGCCCAAATGACCTTCAAGATGCCCACGTGTTCCCCGAAGGCTTTCCAAACCGATTCGGGGAACACATGGTCCGATAGCTTGGCAGGTCTGGCCTCAATGTTCGGCCACATAGGCGCTTCCAAAAACGCAGGGGGCGGCGGTGATTCGCCGTAGGCGTCTTCGATCCGCTGCCCCCTGTTGGCTTCCCACAAAGGGGTGTGGCGTGCTAGACCCTTTCGGTTTTGGATTCGTTTGTTCCAACAGAAAATCCACCTGGGGCTTCGGCATGTCCCTCCGGCCACCCGGAAAAGTGCATAAAAGGCGGCTGCAAAAGGTTTTTCGCCTCCAGACGGCTCCAAGATGGCCTCCGAAATGACCACGATGGCCAAAGATGGCCTCCAAGTTCGCCCAAGATGGTCCAAGATGGCCTCGAAGACTGCCCACGAGGGTCCAGGATGCCTCCAAGTTCGCATAAGAAACACCTGCGACGGCCCAAGACGGCCCCAGAGGCCTCCAAGAGGCCTCCAAGACGGCCCACGAGGCCTCGAAGAGGTCCTCCAGGGTCCTCAAGGAAGGCCCGAAGAGGTCAAATTCACGGATGTTCCTGAGGTTTTTGAACAGCCCAAGACTGTCCAATAGGCCATCAAGATCGCCCCAAGAGTGCCCAAGAAGCCTCCAAGACGGCCCAAGAGGCCCCCAAGACGGCCCCAAGAAGGCCCCAAGACGGCCCAAGAGGCCCCGAAGAAGCCCCAGATAGCCTCCAAGACGGCCAAGATGGCCTCCAAGATGCCTCCAAGACGGCCACGATGGCCTCCAAGACGACCAAGATGACCCCAATATGCACCCAAAACGGCCCAAGATGGCCTCAAGATGGCCTAAGACAGCCTTGTAGGCCCGCCAGAGGCCTCCAAGACGGCCAAGAGCCCTCCAAGAAGTGCTCCAGGAAATAGGGTTAACCTTATTGATTTCCTGTTGGCTTTTGAAACATTTGTGCTGTTGCTCCTGTTCAACTCTCCGACGGCCCAAGACGGCATAAGAGGCCCCCAACATCGACCCAAGAGCGCCCCATAGGCCTCCAAGATGGCCCCAAGACAGCCCCAGAGGCCCCCAAGACGGCCCCAAGAAGGCCCCAAGACGGCCGAAGAGGCCCCCAAGACGCCCAAGATGGCCTCCAAGACGGCCAAGATGGCCTCCAAGATGCCTCCAAGACGCCAAGATGGCCGTCAAGACGGGTTAGATGGCCCGAAGATGCACCGAAGACGGCCCAAAATTGCCGCAAGATGGCTTATGACGGCCCTATAGGCCCGCAAGAGGCCTCCGAGACGTCCTCCAGGAAGGCCCGACAGGGTTAAACTTATTGATTTTTCTTTGGTTGTGGGAGGATGTGGCCATTTCTTCTTTTCAGCTCTCCGACGGCCCAAGACGGCCCCAGAGGCGCCCAACATCGTCTCAAGAGCGCCCAAGAGGCCTCCAGGATGGGCCCCATGACAGCCCAAGAGGCCCCAAAGAGGGCTCCAACAAGAAGCCAAGACGGCCCAAGATGGCCCCGAAGACAGCCAAGATGGCCTCCAAGACGCCCAAGATGGCCTCCAAGATGCCTCCAAGACGCCCAAGATGGCCTCCAAGACTGCCAAGATGGCCCCAAGATGCACCCAAGACGGCCCCAGATGGCCTGAAGATGGCTTTAGACTGCCCAAAAGGCCCGCCAGAGGCCTCCAAAACAGCCCAAGACCCCTCCAAGACGTCCTCCAGGAGGCCCCAAAGCTCGGAAACCACCAGGTCCGTTAGCTCGCCCGACTCCGTGTTCCCCGAAGGCTTTCGAAACCCACTCGGGGAACGCGTGGCCCGATAGCTTGGCCAAGCTCAAACCCAACTTTCGGCCACGCAGGCGCTTCCAAAAATGCAGGGGGCGGCGGTGATTCGCCGTAGGCGTCTTCGATCCGCCGCCCCGTGTTGCTTTATCACAGGGGTGTCCGGCGTGCTGAACGTCTGATGGTCTTGGTTCTTTCGAAGACTCCCCCTGGGGCTTCTGTTCATTGCGCCGGCCGATTTGACAGCTCCCACATTTCGGTCTCCATCGGCCCCATCGGCTCCAAGACTGCCAAGATGGCCTCCAAGATGCCTCCAAGACGGCCAAGATGACCTTGAAGTTCGCCCAAGATCGTCCAACATGGCCTCCTAGATGGTCCAAGAGTCAAAAATGACTCCAGATCTGCCAGAGAAGCTTCCAAGACGGCCCAGGAGGCCCCCCAAGAGGCCCCCAGAGCGCCCAAGATACCTCCAAGATGGCCGCAGGACGGCCCGAGAAGCCCCCACGAAAGCCCAATAGGCTTCTAGGACGGCCAAGACGTCCTCCAAGACGGCCCTGAAGCGGCCCGAAAAGGCCCAAAACGGTCCAGAGAGGCCTTCAAGACGGCTCCCGACGGCCCAGGAACGCCCTAAGGCAGCCAAGGAAGCTCCAGAGAAGCCCTCAAAGGCCCCCAAGAGGCCCAAGGAGGCCCTCAAGAGGCCTCCAAGAGGCTCGCACGAAGCTCCCAGGAGACCCCAAGAGTGCCCCAAAAGGCGCCCGAAAGGTCTACTACTCTTCCGTCTCTTCCTCCTCATTCTCATCCTCCTCATCCTCCTCCCTTTTCCATATTATCCTCATTCTTTTCTTCCTCGCGTCTTCCCCGAAGGCTTCCAACGACGGTCGGGGGAACACATGATCCGATAGCTTGGCCGAGCTCTAGCCCAACGTTCGGCCGCACAGAGGCGCTTCCAAAAAGGCAGAGAGGCGGTGATTTTCCATGGGCGTCTTCGATAATTGTACCGATGGCGGCTCGAACAAAAAAGACCGTTGCGGACAAGCGTCAACGAGTATAAAAGATCGGGTGTATGGAAGGAGTACGCTCACTGTAAAGGTTAAACAACTTGAGCTTGACAACTCTGCTGGCCATGAGGCGCTCACATGCGAGCGAAAATAATGGCAGCAAGATGCTCCTCCCTCCCTCACGCAACAGCCGATGGGGCCAGCGCCCCACCGACCAAACAAACATTATGAGATGGCCAGGGTACACTTTGCCGCCTGGCCTTCTCCATTTGGTGCGGTCTGTTGGAATCGCGCCCCCCCCAAACGCCTCCTTTGGCCTCCCCCTCCACAAGCGAGGCCATCTGGAAGCACTCGCGTGCTGGCCTCTGCAGCGGGGCCTGGCCAGCAGCGGCAGCCTCCCCCTCACGCTGGCTCCTCGCCCCTGCAGCCCTTGTGGAAGTTTGCGCAGCAGTACTGGATCTTCCTCGGCGACCACGAGAGCTCCAAGCAATGCATGCAGTGGTGGTAGCCGGCGTCGCAGTCGTACACGGTCCTGTCCGGCTCCGCCGGAGCGTTGGACGGCGGCAGCCCCGAGGGCGGAGGCAGCTCCGAGGGGCAGCCCTTGTTCGCGGTCCTGCAGCAGTACAGCTTCTTCTGGCCAGACCAGCCGCGGACCCACTGCAAAGGATCCAAGTCGTTGTAACCAGCGTTGCAGTCGATCGGACAGGGCGAGGTGGTGACCACTGGCACTGGCGCGGGCATGGTGCTGGGCGCGGGCGGCGTCGTGGGGCACCCCTTGCCCACGTGTAGGCAGCAGAAGACCTTCTTCGGGATGTCCCAACTCATGGCGTCGCCCTGCTGGCAGTCGATCCTCTTCTCCGTCGTCGTGGGTGGGGGCGGGGGCGGAGGCGGCGGAGGCGGCGGGGGCGGCGGGGGCGGCGGCGGCGGCGGAGGCGGCCTGGCGGTCGTCTTCTCGGTGGTCGTGGTGGTGTCGGGCGGCGCCGTGCTCGGCGGAATGTACGGCCTGGTGGTGGTCGTGGTCGTCGTGGTCGTCGTCGTCGAGCCTGGCGCCATCGCGAAGAGCAGGAGAGGCAGCAGGAGCAGCGACAGCCCCAGAGGGAGGAGCAGGCACAGGCAGCAGTTGGGACCGCGCCCAGGGATGCGGATCACGCCGAACTCGCCCGCGCCCGTGCCCACGTACCTGTAGGTGGTCTCCTGGGCGTAGTCACCCCCTGGGCCCACGTAGCTCAGCACGGTGGTACCGCCCGCCCCGCAGCCGGAGGAGTCGGCGCAGGTCGCGCCGCAGGCGGGGCCACAGCCCATGCACGCGGTGGCCTCAGCGCAGCACCCCGTGCAGTCACCGGCGCCAGCACCGTGCGCGCCGTAGGCGCCGCCCGGGCCGCAGGCGCCACCCGCGCCGCCGAGGCCCCCGCCGTAGCCTCCGAAGAGCCCAGAGCCAAGGCCGCCGCCGTAGCTCCCGAAGCGCCCCGAGCCGAGGCCGCCGCCGTAGCTTCCAAAGAGCCCCGAGCCGAGGCCCCCGCCTCCGCCGTAGGCGCCGCCCGCGCCGCCGAGGCCCCCGCCGTAGCCTCCGAAGGGCCCAGAGCCGACGCCGCCGGAGCGGTAGAAGGCCATGGCGCTAGCGGCGCGGTGAAGTGGGGGGGCCGCTGCGGCGGCGGGGCGTGCTGGGAAACTGCGAGGAGAGAAAATGCACAACTGTGCTTCAGCCAAAATGGCTACGGAAGGTGGACGGAAGGAGTGAGAGGATGCTGGGGGAGTAGGAGGAGGAGGAGGCGGATTAGGAGGAGGAGGAGGAGGAGGAGGAGGCGGATTAGGAGGAGGAGGAGGAGGAGGAGGAGGAGGAGGAGGAGCGCCCCCGTGCCTGGTTTCCGTTGTGTCGTCACTGTGCGGGTTCAGACAGGCGGGCCGCCCCTCTGGCGGACCCGCCACCGTGCCATAGGCACAGATTCGTAGGAGTCCTCAGTGATTTGCAGTCCTCAATCATGAGCACCAGGCCATCTACATTCAGAGCCCCCGACCCTAACCTCAGGTGGGGCCACGAAGTGTGTGGGGAAAGTACCGAGATGGGTTGTGGGGGCGCATGTGGGCGAGCAACGACATATGTACATGTACGCCCTCCGCGGTTTTGCCTGCACGAACGTCCGCGTTGACACGCACTCCAGGGGAAGCTAACCGCGTACGTGTGCATATGTTGCTGGCCTCTGAGCACGAAACGTGAACATGGTGTGCCGCATTGGCGCGGGCACGCATGCGGACCCTGCCACTCGGGCCTTCGATGGCGATCCCTCTCTGGCAACAGAACGCGTGAGGGGTGCTCGCGAAATTGGCGAGGGGACGCACGCCAACCCTGCTCGGAAGCCGTCGGTGGAGCTCCCTGTGGGGCTACGGAGCGTGTGAGGGGTGTGCCGAAGTGGCCGCGGGGGGCGCGTGCGAACCTTGCCGCAAGAGCCTTCGGCGGAGCTCCCTGTGGGGCGAAGAACCGTGTGAGGGGTTTGCCGAAGTGGGCGCGGGGGCGCATGAGCTTTCGGTGGAGTTCCCGGTGGGGCCACGAAGCGTGTGAGGGGTGCACCGACATGGGCATGGCCCGGCATGCGAACTCTGCCACTTGGGCCTTCGGTGGTGCTCCTGTGGGGCCACGAAGCGAGGCTAGGGTGTGCCGACCTGGACACACGGAGGGCAGAGTCAGGAGGGAGGAGCGCGGCGCTGCTGATTCAAAACGAGGACCCACCACCACAGGCTGGCTGGGGAAAACGTGGGGACATCCTATGGGCTCGCAAACTTTGCACTCTCAGCCCTGACATCTGCAAAGATGCAGGGCGGGACATTGTTGATGGACGGCAGGGGACTCCCGCGCAGGCACAGCGCGCCAAAACGCTTAACCGAATCCGCCACCGTGCCCATGCGGCACGGCGTGGAGTGTCCTCGGGCCCCTTCCTCGATCCCCTGAACCTCAGCAGATTTGGCGAAATCGCCACGCCAAATCTGCTGGGGATCCCCGCGTGCCCTCTGGGACCCCTCGCGGCGTCTCGCATCACGTTGTCGGGCCAAAAAGGACCCCAAGAGCGCGTTTTTTAATGTTCGGCGATGACGGGCGTCATGGTGGGAGAGGGGGGGGGGCGAAGGGGGGGGTATGTCGTGACGCCCCCCCCCGCCGTGTGGCTCCGGCACCGCAGCCGTGCCCGCGCGCGCGAAGCGACGAGCGACGAACAACGACGACGACGACGACGACGACGACGATCACGACGATCACGACGACGACGTCGACGACGCGACCAGCATGTAGGTGGCGATATGCCCCACTGCGCCTGTGTACACCACAGCGGTCGCGTGCACCACACCGCGCGTGTATACCACAGCGCCTGCGTACACCGCAACAATCGTGTGCAACGCAGCGCCCGTGTACACCACAGTGCTTGCGTACACTACAGCGCTGGCGTACAATGCCACACCGCAACTACCATGTGCAACGCAGCGCCTGTGTACACCACAATGCTTGCGTGCACCGCAGCGCCTGTCCACGCCACAGCGCGTGTCTACGCCACAGCACCCGCGTGCAACGCAGCGCTGGTGCACACCACAATGCCTGAGTACATAGGGCACGAAAAAGGAGCATGTACGTGAGGATCTGCTGCGGACAACTAGACGCGCCAGGAATTGCTGATAATCGAATGAAACATTCTTCCCTCCTCCCTCTTCCGCCTCCTCCACCTCCACCTCCACCTCCTCCTCCTCCTCATCCTCCTCGTTACCCCCTGTCGTGCGGGTTGGCGCTACAGCGCACGTGCGCATGTCAGCGCGCACCGCAGAATGGTCTATTGAATCGGTCCACCTGGTTCTCGGACGGCCAATTCAGCTGGAACCTCCTGGACGCAAAGGGAGGAGTTAGGGTGATGCGGACGGACTCGGGGGGACACGTAGATTCCAGAGGCGCTCCGTCGTCCATAAGGATTAGTTTATATTGTTCCAATGGAATCCACAAGCGTTCCATTTTGTCGTAAGAATTTGTTCTCACATTCGATCTACAACAATGGTGCTGTGTTGCGCACGGTTGCTGTGGTGCACACAGGCGCCGTGGTGTACACAGAAACTGCAATGCACGCAGGCATTGTGGTGTATACTGGTGCTGTGTTGCACACGGCTGATGTGGTGAACGCAACCGCTGTGGTGTGCGCAAGAGCTGTTGTGCCCGCAGGCACTGTGGCACAAACTGACGCTGCGTTGCACGCGGCTGCTGTGGTGTACACAGGCGGTGGTGTACACAGGCGCTGCACGTAGGCACTGTGGTGTACACAGGCGTTGTGGTGCAAATCGCCACCCACATTCTGGCGCTACCCGTCCTCCGTCATTCCTAGGCATTCCCAAACGCCGCCAGCGCGAAACGTGACGTCATCGACCCCCTCCATCCCACCCTAGATGATTGCCGTCATCGGCCCGGAATACAAAAAACAGGCTTCAGCCGTGTCCGCGCGCACGGCAACTATGAGCGACGAGCGACAAGCCACGAGCGACGACGACGACGACGACGACTGCGGACCAGACTCCTATGCGGATTCCTACGCGGACACCTACGCGGATCCCAATGCGCACAGCGGCAATGCTCGGAGCGCACTGGGGGGCAGTGCCCGGAGCGCACTGGAGGGGGGAGCGTTACGTCATAGGGGGAGGGGGGGCTGGGGGCCATGACGCCCGTCATGCCCCAAGCAATAAAGAAACGGGCTGCAAGAGGGGCAAGAGGGCCTCAATGGGCCCCCAAGACGGTTTAGGAGGGGTTCGGATCGCCGAACACTCGGTCAAAGACGCCAGAGATGGCTCCCAAAAGGCCGCCGAGGCCGCCAAGACGCCCCAAGAGAGCTCAAAGAGCAACCCCAAGAGGGATCCGAAAGGCCAAACTTACTGATCCCCCATCAAGATTTCAATGTGTTCGGAGTTCTCAATTCATCTAGCTTCCGACGCTCCAAGACGTCCCAAGAAGCTCCCAAGACGGCCCAAGAGGTTCCCAAGTAGGCGCCAAGACGGCCCTCAAGGGCCCCAAGAGGGCCTAAGAGGCGCCCAACATGGCCCAAGAGGGTTCCAAGATGGCCCCACGAGGGGCATCCGAGCCTCCTTAGCCCCAAGAGGTGGCCGGGAGGCTCCAAGAGGCCCCCAAGAGGCCCCAAGAAGCCCCCAATTTGCTGCCACGACGCCCCTAGAGGTAGAGGCCCAACAGAGGCCGCTCCCCACTCCGAGAGGTCCCCAGGAGGGCCCCAAGACGGCCCTGGAGGGTCCCAAGATGGCCCAAGAGGCGCCCACGACAGCCCAAGAGGGTTCCAGGATGGCCCCAAGACTGCCTCGGGGAGGTCCCCGAGAGGCCTCGACGAGATCCCAACGAACATCCAAGAGACCTCAGACCCACAACCCAAACACGGTGGCGGGATGGGCCGAAAAATCCGCTGCTCCCTGTGGTCTTGCCACAAAGGTGCCCGGCGTGCTAGACCCTGCCGGTTTTGGTTTTGGCTCTTTTTCCAAAAGATCTCTCCCCTAGGGCTCCGGCCCGTCCCGCCGGCCACCCGAAAGGGACCGCAATCGCGCACAACGTCCGCAAAAAGTCTTCCAAGACGGCTCAAGATGGCTTCCAAGATCGCCACGTCGACCCAAGATAGCCTCCAAGATGCCTCTAAGACGGCCGAGATGGCCTCCAAGACAGCTAAGATGGCCCCAAGCTGCCTCCCAATGCACCCAAAACGGCCTAAGGTAGCCTCAGGATGGCCTACGACGACCCATGAGACCTCCGAGACGGCCACAGGGGCCTCCGAGAGGCCCCCAGGGTCGCCCCAAGATCGCGCAAGAGGCCTCCAAGATGGCCCCATGACGGCCCAAGATGCCCCCAAGACGGCCCCCAAGACGGCCCGAGAGGCCCCCACGACGCCCAAGATGGTCTCCAAGATGGCCCTGGAGCACCCCCAGAGGGCCCCAAGTCGGTTCAGAGAGGCCCCCACGACGGCTTCCGACGGCGTCCGACGGGCAAGGAGCCCACCAAGAAAGACGGCCCCAAATGGCACTAAGATGGCCCAAGACGG